CACCCAATTAAAAGTCATGACAATAAGAGTTTTAGTAGTATATAGATAAGACTTACTACCTTATCTAATTGATTAGATATACTAATATTCCAAATATATGTTTTCTTTGTGCACGAATGTATTTTTTCCTCCCTTTGTCTGAAAAAACACTCAGCCTTTCAAAGGGGCACAAAGATTTTATTCTACTCCCTAGTTGTTATGCTTGAGAATCTGGCTCCAAAGCAATGCTATATTTATTCTCTATGCTACAAAAGCAAACTCCTGTGCCAAGAAAAGCCATGGATATTTTGTAAATTGTCTATTGTTGGGGTGAGCAATAGTTTTAAAGCAGAGCCAGACTTTAGAGTTGTTTAATTTTTTTTTTCATCTTTTGACAACCACAGGTATCATGGCTGGTAATGTGATTTTTCTCGCCAAGGGTCTGGGGTTGTTTGTTTTTTGTGGAGGGGGAGAGAAGAAAAGTTAAGGAAGAAATAATTACTTTAATTGTCATGGAAGCTTATTACATCAATTTTGTCCCTCATTATGGACAAAATGATCAGAGAACTCTGTTACTAAAAAGCTATGGCTGTGTCACTGAACTTGGGCAATACAATTTGGGAGCAAAAAAAGTGAATCAGAGAGCCATATGTAACCTGTCGGCCATGGGCAATCTATGATCTTTACTATTTATTTGCAGTTGGATTGGTTCCGAGAGCAGCTTAATAGAAGCCAGTTTCAAACTTACAAGGGAGTATGCCCCATTTAAATCACTGGCACTTCTTTCATTTGGAAAAAAAATGTTCAGCGTCTGCTGCTCATTGCTTAATGCAGAGAATGTTTAATGTTTAGATGATCACTATTAAAATTATTTTTGGCTTTTTTTTTTACCGTATTAAAGAACACTGAGAGAAAGAGAAAGACAAGCAAATTTTCAGGGAAATTCTATGAGCTTCATACTTTTGAGCAGCCATTAGGACAACAATAATAGAAGAGCTGTGATGGGCAAATAGGTCAACGGCATAAGAATAGCTAAAGAAACAAGCCTGTGGAGAAAACTCAGCATCTTTCCAGAGACTGGTTCAAGGCCTGCTGTAAAAACAATGCCTCCTTGAAAACCATGTTCAAAAGACTAGTCACACATATATGATTACGTTACGATTATGTGTCTTGCACAGACCTTTCTAAATATATATTTTTAAAGAGATAAGTCACTGTCAATTCAGAGATCATACCCCGCCTGCTCAGGATGCCCTTATGAGCAGGGATGCAACTTTATGGTGCGGCTATAAAATCACTAAGTCAGAGCACATATTCTCACAGATCATTATGTTTTTGTAAAGAGATGCTCATATCTATGTCCACAAACTACTCGATGAATATAATTCATCAAATAAAGTCAAGTGATCCCCATGATTTTTCAGGCAGATAACAATCTTCATCAGTTCCTGTCAAGGTATGTTATCATAATCCACATCATCCGATATTCATATCATATTTGTTGGCCAGCTGTCTCATAAAAACCAGAGAAACAGAGTTTTCTGTGCAGTGTTGCCATTATTGCTGTGTGGGTTTTTTTAAAAAATTCCAGCTTTAAAATTTAAATTTTGATGAATGTGAAGCATTTGTGTAGCATCTTCTGTAATGCTTTAAAGAAGCTGCATTTTACCGAGGTTTAGGGGGCTGTTTAAAGGCATGCAGGCAGGGACATACAAACAGGTGCCACACGAGCAATCCCTCTGAGCCCAAACTGCAAAGCTTTAATTACCATTGTGAAAACAAAAACAAAAACCACTCAAACTTGAAGCACAGATGCCGAAAGATGCTCTTGGGTATTAAACAGAAGTTATGCAAATTGATTTGAAGGAATCCCAAAGAATGGGGTTTTGCACCAGCAAACTAACAGCAGTAGAAGGAAAATCTTTTTTTTCCCCTCGGATATCATCTTTCCCTTATAACCCAGGGTCTCTTTCTAAGGAACATCTGGATGGACTTCTAGGCAGACTTCCAGGGGCACTAAGGGTGAGTTAACAAACCCCTCTCATACTTCTCTATTCTGCTACTGAAGGTGTCTACCTGCAACAGGTGCAGTCTCAACAGTCTCAAAGGAGCCTTGGTGGCGCAGCAGACTAAAGTGCTGTTAAGTAGCACTTAGCTGCCAGCTGCCTGCAATTACTGCAAGTTCAAATCTCACCAGGCTCAAGGTTGACTCAGCCTTCCATCCTTTTGGGGCAGGTAAAATGAGGACCCGGATTGTGGGGGCAATAAGCTGACTTTGTATAAAAAAGAACACTGCTTGGGGGGGGGACGAAAGCCCTACTAAGCAGTTATATACAAAAGTCTGAAGGCTATTACTTAACGCATTGTAAGCCGCCCTGAGTCTCTGGAGAAGGGTGGCATATAAATCGAACCAATAAATAAACAATAAAATAAATAGATTTCACAGTACAATTCAATTCTGATAGGCATGCATAAAATCACTATAAAAATATTATCTTGAATGTACATGGTGCAAAAACAGATCTGAAGCACAAATTGTCAAGAAAGTTTTTTTAAAACTGCCAATGAGGAAGAACAGCAGTATGCTTTTCAAAATTGTGCTGAGACAGAGATTTATCTTTGGCACCTCGTGTTTTTCTCCCCTTCCCCACCACAACTAAAAGGCATGTAGAATTTAGAATTGCATATATCCTTCCAGTGGCCCAGAAGCATCCAGGCTTTTACGTGGAAAGTCTGAGTATCTTAATCATAACTAATTAGAGCTCATGGTGGCTCTAGCATCCTCTAGGTGCCAGATGGCGCAGGAGGCATTGCAAAAATTATGGATCCATGCTTCTTGGAACTTCTTTGGTCCAAGCAATTAGATTTGAAGCACAAGGACATTCATTGTTGTACAAGCAAACTACAGTGGCTATTTAATCAGTCCTAAAAGCCATGAATAGAAAATCATGCAAATATAAAGCTCCAACAAGATTGATATGCTCCAGAGCCTATCGCTGAGGAAATGCCACCATGCTGGACTGGAGCTCACAGATGTGCTTTCTCTTGAGGCTGTTCTTGCTCTCTGGAGCACCATCCGCCCCACCTGTTAGGAAAGCCTTGATACCTTGGTTTTCTTCAATAGGTTCTGGGACAGCGCAATTAATGACCTCACCTGGGGAACCTGGCTTTACACTGCTGTTTCCCCAATGTGAGTAATTGGTGTTCTTTTCTGCTATGCATGTTAAACCTGTTTTAAATTGTTTCTTCTATTGGTATGCTGTCTAGAACTGCTTCCATGGATAATAAACTCAAGCAAGCAAGCAATCAGCCGGTGGATCAAATTACAGGTGCAGCAATTCCCAGCAGAGCTGTGGCAGTGGTAGAGACCTTCACACAGTCTCCTCCTTTCTGCAGACAGGCACTTAAAGCCACTGTCACGTCATAGTGGTGTTACCAAGTGCCAAATCTGTTCTTTTTAGAATACACCCCCTCAACAAAGAGGTGACATTTTACTAGAAAAAGCAATGGACCTTCTTTGCAACCTTGAACTTGCTTATGTCTCTTCTGGCTACAATACTGAACTTTGGATTCCCATTGTTTTGAGAAGAGGACCATACAGATGTGCATTGTAAACCTCAAATAAGCTTAATGATGTTTTAGAAACAAAAATAAGCCAACCTTCTCTCACAACCCACTCAAGACAGAATATCTCAGCCCAAGTCCACAAAGTAGCCGCCCTGTTTGAATTGCCACATCTGTGGAACTAGTTGACTTCAATAATTCTGCCCACCTGATACGTTCGGGTGGAGTGGGGCCAGTCCAGATTGTGTCAATTAAACACATATGGGACTGAGGAAGCACACCTTCTATGTCATAGCTCCTGTCTTCTGGAAAGCCACATCTCTAAGACACACAAGCTTCCCTCTCTCCAGTTTTTGGGGAAAATCTTTTCAGATCCACCTGTTCCTAGGTCCAGGGTTTATGTGTTAGTGGAATCCCCATCACACACACCCATGTGTTTGTTTGTATTTTATTATTATGATTCTTTATACTGTGCTGAAATACCACTTATAACACTTTACAGCCTTCTCTAAGTGGTTTACAGAGTCAGTATATTTCTCCCAACAATCTGGGTCCTCATTTTACCAATCTCGGAAGGATGGAAGGCTGAGTCAACTATGAGCCAGTGAGGATTGAACTCCTCCTGACAGTGACAGTGAGTTGAATTAACTCGCAATATATTTTAAATTATGTACTGAATCCAGAGTCTTTTGGGGCTGCTATAATAAACCATCACCACCCACTATGGCCCTTGCCCCTTTCCCCAGCCACCAAATAGTTCTTTACTATCCTATTCCTGCAGTCACAGTCAGAAAGAGCTCTACAAGCCACGAAAAAAGAGGTTGGGGCAGTGACCTTTCACTTTTTATGTAAAACAGTGGGAATTCAGGAAGAACTACCTTCTAACCTATGACTGCACTACAAAAGAACTGGATCTAATTTATAAACCTGCTGTAAGCTTAGTGATCTGAGGAATCTCTCTCTTTTTCGTAAATGCTTTCTGTAATCTTTACATTCTAAAAGACATGAGATTCCTGGTGTGTCCTTCAGTTCAGCCAAGAGTACAAGAATACATCTAGGCTCAGTTAAGAATAAGTATGTAATCAATGTGTCTGAAATGAAATGAAACAGACACACCCAATCAAAACAGGCCCAGACGGAAAGCTGTGGTCTCAGCTTAGTAGAAATTTAGTAGAAAGTCTTGGCAAAGCCACTCAATTACAGATTGTGCCAGAAATTTCTCGGGTTGAACAATATACAGAATCTGAGTAAAATGAACAAACTAATTAGGAGTCAGGCTCTGAAAACTAACCCAGAGTAGGCCTCTGTATCTTAAAATCCAGGGATGGGCAAAATAACTTAAGACCAGAATGATCCCATTCTGGTTTTAAGTTAGAACAGAACAGAACAGGCTGTTTTGAACTTGCTGGAAGAATTCTAGTTAGACAGGCCAAGCAAAAGGTTATTTCAGTACTTACAGTTAAGGAGGTGAAGGTCAGGCAGATTCCACCAAAACCATTTAAGGAAAGGCCAAGAAAAATCAATGGAGAAAGAACTGGGAAGGAGAACAGAAATATGGGATGAGAAGATGGGTGGTGTTCTCAAGGAATGGAGGAGATTTGTAACAGGAAATAGAAATATAATGGAAGACTGAGTGGGATAGCAGAAAGACTTGAGAACATGGTATAGGGTGTTGTTGTTTTTTAAAGGAATAGATCCACAAATGTCCAGTTGGGGAAGACACAAACTGTAATCTAGCACATTTGAAGAGTGGAGATAGTTGAAGGGATTTAAGACTGCCAATTTGAGAACCTGTCTTTTTAATATATCTAGAGCCATTAAGGAGGATGTAGCCATTACCCTCCCAGGACCATTTCTCTATGAATTGGATTACTCGTAGTGCACATGTGGGGCCACAAAGGCAGGAAACCAAAATGAGCGGGCTGCTGAGTTGGATGACAGAACCAGGAGAAAGTCAGGGGAGAGAAATCAGAGAAGAGAGAAGACTCTCCCATTTGCAAGTAATTAAAAGTTACTAATTCAATTAACACAAAAGTTCTTCTCACCTAACGGGTTGTGGGCAGCCAGAGCCATGAGAGCACAGGAGAGAGCAAAGCTGGCACTATAAAGAAATAATAGATATATCAAATCATTGCTGAGCTAAGTTATGTCCTCAAAGCAGCTTTCCTCAACCTGTGCCCGCTTGATGTATAGATGACAACTCCCAGAATTCTAGTGGCCATATTGTGAGTGCAACACAACTGAAAAGCTCCAGGTATGGAAATTCTGCCTCAAAGGGACACCAAAAATTATTGAAAATTATCCCCCAATTATTTCAAAAATGACACTTTCCACCCTAAAAGCTGCAATCTATTGTTAGTTCTCCCCGTTCCAGTGCGGTTTCTAATCTACAAATACAACTTTCTAATATTTATTCATTTCCACTGAAATGAGAATTTGGGACCTAGTAACCTCCAGGCACTTTTTTCCCCTTTCTTTCAGGTATTTTCTTCAATAGGCCACCGTGCCATTTGCCCCAGAGACCTTGTTCTTCTCACCTGCCAACTAGGCGAAGAGGCCTGGGTCCAAGTCGGTCCATCAGGATGCCAAGAGGCAAAGTAGCCGCACTCAAGAGAAAGGAGCCAATGGTGAAACCCAGAGTAAGCATTTCTTCCTGTTCCACACAACTGAAGGGATGGGTTACATTAGCCACAGGTGAAACATTGGTGTTATTCTTCTCTAAAGAGAAAATGGCAAAATAGATTAGGACATTGATTTCAAATCCCATTTTTACATCTATTCTACCCAAGGGCATGATTGTTTTTTGTTCCTAAAGAAGCACAATCAAGCCCTGTTGCACATCTTCCTTCTTGCTGCATTGAAGAAAACACAAAATTGGGGAGGTCTTTGATGCTCTCTGAGCTTGGTTGTTTTCTTCAGACACTGCATTACCAAACTAGGTAACATCATCAGTGGTAGAAGGGAATGGGGTTTGCTCTCATTTTATATACTAGTGGCTTGCCCTGTCAATGTTTGTAGGAGTTGGTGGCTCCTTGACTTGGCTGTTTATTATTAGCTTGTTTTTCTGAGTTGGTAGTTCCTTGATTGGGGTATTATTTCTTGATTGTTGGTTCAACATTGTTGATTAATCACAACGTTCTCATGCACAGCAGAGAAAGCAAAAAGAGGAGCAAAATGACCTGGGAAGGAACAGGATCTGAATCACATTCTGAGTGTTCCAGTTGATTGCTGTGGGCCCATTCTGAACGTAAAGGGATTGCTTTGCTAGTAGAATAGCCAGCCAAGAAAGGCAGGGAGTGATTCTAAGTTAAAGAGAATGTGGGATAGTAATGGATTTGGCCATCATTTATAGTGAGAGCAGCTCTTTCTATAATTTTAATAAAGTCAGACAGTAATCTGTTGCTTGTCAAAGATTTAGGAGACAGGCCGTGATCTGAGGTGCTGTAACACAAGAAACAAAAAAGCCTGACTCCAAAAAATGAGAGGTTCAATACTTGGAGGAATTGTAATCTGTTTTTCCTATAAATACAAGGTCAATTTTATAAGGAAGAACACTATTTTAAGATTTCTCGAGGTCCTTGAGAAAAATAGTAGGAAAATAAGAGCTAATCCAGCCACTGTGTTTATTACAAAAAGGTGGTTTGAAACAAGCTTTGTGGGATTGTTAATCTCACATGGTCACAGTGAGGGAACACTGCTATATCCTATAATACGGAATGCTTCACAGCTTTAGCCTGAATTAGGATCATGGGAAACTTCACTTCATGGGGAACTACAATGTGGAGATGTTTTATGAAAATTAATGATAAAGGACCCCACAGAAACTGTTTTAAGCCATTACCATGTAATCAAACCAGCTCTATCAATTTGGTACTAATTTGTTTATTCTTCCATCTTCAGTCCCTCACATATATTACAAGATTTGGGTAGAATCCTTGGAAGAATCATATGAATGCCAGACCCCAAGGCTGAAGCTGCTGAATCCATTTGCATTGAGTTTCCCTCTCTTTTATCAAGTACACAATATTAGTACAAGTTACTACTCAAAGTTCTGTCAGATTCATTCTTAATTCTGTCCCTACTGAGGCCTTATCAATAGGACCCAATCTGCTTCATTGGCAAATGTTTTGGTTAAGTGCAGAATTGGGGAGGCAAAGATCCTTGAGGCAAGCAAAGATCTGTGGGAATGGAAAGTGCAACACTTTGCTCAGAATAGCACCCGCAACCTCCCCACACCTGTTATCATTTTAACTCACCTAATAGGCTCAGACCCCCATCCTACTCACCTGTGCACATATGGGAGTAGAAGCCTTCAAGTTTGAGCATAATGAGTAAGGAGCCCCAGCCCAGCAAAACAGCAGAGAAAAAGAGATTTTCCACCACCGCAGTACAGGCCATCCACCAGCGTCGCCGGTATGCCTGATGCAAGGTGGGTGCCATCTTTCCTCTGGCTTGTAAGAGGAGGCTGCAAACAAAACAAGATCATCATCTTTCTTGGCACTCAGGTCTTATTTACTATTCCACTGATTTTGACCTGGAAATTACAGGTAAGATACACAGGAGCTATAACTCAGTGGTAAGACACTTGCTATAGCAATAGCACTTAGACTTATATACAGCTTCACAGTGCTTTACAGAGTGAGCATATTGCCCCCAACAATCTGGGTCCTCATTTTACCAACCTTGGAAGGATGGAAGGCTGAGTCAACCTTGAGCCGGTGAGAATCGAACTGCCAAACTTCAGTCAGTCGGCAGTCAGAAGTAGCCTGCCTACTGCTGGCTACTTCTAACTACTGCACCATCACAGCTCTTACATGGTAAAGGTCCCAAGTTCAATCTCTATTCCCTTCAAAAAGGGTTAAGAAGGAAAGCCCGTAGATCTCTGCCCATCACCACCTATATTAGATGGAACAATAGTCAGATCCGATAGCAAGAGATACCTACTTTTAAATAATGGGACACAAAACTCTTCCAAACTCACTGGAGTTATTAAAAATCTACACAAGTAATGAAGCAGCACTCCAGCTTGACACTACACATCGGGGTGATGATACTTGTTGACTATTATATCCTGGAAGGCAAGATCTAGCAGCAAAATACTATAAAAGGGGGAATATATAACCTTGAAAACTATTTAAAAAAAAGGAAATTGCTGGCCCAGCTATTAGCCTGAGGGCAAACAGCTGCTAGGATTTCTTCTGACAGAGGTCTGAGCCACACAATCAGTTGACTTGTAGCTACTGGAGTTAAACAAGGGCAGCCTGGCAGCTGCTGCCACTCACAGGGCAGGAGCCACAGAGAGGTTGCAGCTCCCTCCCTGCAGAAGCACATGCATCATTGGAGACTCCATCTGTTTTGTGAGTTGCCACCTTCCCCTTCACCCTTTCATTTTTCATGAGGAAAAAGGAAGATAAAATATAAGATAAAACTATGTAGCCGAGTAGTGGCAAACTCTGCCCCATGGAAATGTCAATATACATCCCTTCCTTTACATGACCGGGTTAGAATGTCACTGTGGAGTTTCATATACTACAAAAGGAGATCTTGTTCCTTGCTTGCTGGCCAAAACCAGCCCAGTCAATTTGCTCGTTTTCTGCTTGAAATTGCCTATCACAGGCCAAGAGTAAACTAGCTTCAGCAACCTGCTTGCTAACCTGTTTTTTACAGCAAGGATATTTCAAGTACCACTTCTTTTTTAAAAAACAACAACATGCTCCTATGAGCTTTTTTAATTTGTTTATTTTCTGAAAATCAATTACCGGTACATAAGTGGGCATCAGCTGTAGTGCAGATGCTCATTTATATGCATATCTATACTAAAGCTTACAATTTATTTGTATCAGAAGTATTATTTTGACAAGAGAGATCTTCACAGAACAACCTAGTCCTAGACTAGAGAAAGGATTACAAAGAATTACACTGAAGTCATAAATGGATCATGCATGAAGTTTTTAACTCAAGGGGAGCCATTCTAATGTAGCAATTGAAGTACTGACCTAAAGATATATGCCATAAATTCAAATCCCCCACTTGCTTACTTGAATGATCTTGAAATACTCTGCCTTTCTCAGGAGAATACTGGAAGGATGGCAATGTGGAAGATCACTAAGCACAGCGTTTCTTGGAGAAAAGGGTATGAATATTTACATAAACCAGAGGTGGCAATCTAAACATTCATTTTTAAAACCGTGAAAGAGGCTGCAGAAGTAAATCAGGACATTCTAGGTTAAAGACCTACCTGGGAGGCAAAGTTTCAGAAGTACTTCTAAAAACCTGAAATGTCAACAGAGAACTTAAAAATGTAAATGTGTAACCTAAACATGCAAAAGTCAGATTGTCCTGGCACAGAACTTTGATTTTACTAAAACTGTGCCAACTTCCTGAATTGTTAGGTTTTTCATTTTGAACATTTGGTTTGGGACTAGTATTTCTGAAGTTCCAGAGATGCAAGGTGGGGCTTGATTGATTTAATGCTTTAGGTAATGAGGCAGAATGGGAAGTAAACAGCTTGGTAATGAAATTCAGAGATGACACCAGATCCAGCAGCATTTGTAAACAAGCACAATAGGGGAAGAGAAAGAGATGGTGATAGCTCTTAAACTAGAAAAAATGGAAAACTGGAAGAAACAAGACTGTATCATTGAGTACAGAAACTTAAAAAAAAAAAAAGGAACCTTCAAGACAGATGTTACTTGAAAGTATCCAGTGCCAAAAAGCAGCTGCTGCTTGAAATGTTTAAGAATCCATATTACAGGAATGTGTTGTCAAACATTGGAAGCCTAAGACTATACACTGCACAGCGCTAGTGGAGTAGGGGTGGCCAAGTTCCCTTCCTAGAAAAATGTGGGCAAATCCTAAAAGGTATGAATGTCAAGATTAGAATACTGAGCCAAATGGCTGTCAGGCTGGAGGCCTGACTTTAGTGTGATGAGTCATTAGTTTTATAAACCACAGAGGATGGAATGCACACACAGTGCTCTATCTGGGTTCTATGCTCTGCAATGCTAAGATGTTTTATATTTGATGCACTGGTCCAGGGGTGAAATCTACTTACCTTCCCTATCAGTTCGGAAGTGCACGCGCTGCCCACGCGCACACGCTGACCCTCTATGCATGTGCAAATCCTTCTGCGCATGAGCAGAGGGTAAAAAACAGGGTACAGGTTAAAACCAGGAAGTAACAATGACCAGGCGGGTGGGCGGAGCCTCAAGCTGACATCGCTACCGGTTCTCCGAACCACCGACCGTCATCGCTACCGGTTTAGCTGAACCGGGAACATTTCACCCCTGCACTGGTCCCATTACTTTGGTCTGGATTAGAGAATGCATTAAGCTGTAATTTTATTTTTGTTCCCCCTTCCTTTAGAAAAATGGATTCCTCCGCAACATTTTAAAGACTTCACTGAAATCTGCCTTCCAATTTCCTGAAAGATTATTCCTACACCTCAGAAAAAAGGGGTTCTGTTTTATACTTCTTTTTTTGTTGTTCTTTAGTGGTATCTGAACATCCTTTGTTATGATGAGATGTTGAGAGTTCTTGTAACTTTGGCTGTTCATACATCCTAAGGGTAAAAAGTGCCATGGAATGAATCCTTTCATGGTGTCATCAGTTGAACTGTAGTTAAACTCTATAGAACTTGGGATGCTGCATATCAATAGAAATGATTACATTATGCTTAATTCTTAGCCATCTTATAATTATAAAATTTACCCTTAAAAGGAATTTTTCTCTCATGGAGGAAAAAAGATAAATTTATTTCATTTCCTCCAAAATGAAGTGAAACGACTGAAAATTACGGAAAGAAAATATCTCTAATCTATAAAAATATTTTGCCTATATTAATCAGAATATCCCTTAACTGAATATGTACGGTAACCAGAAAATAATGTATTTTGGTGTTATGTTCTGCAAAAAATGGAAATTCTTTTGATACAAGTATTCAGATCTTAGCAGATTCTGACCTAAAGCTTTCAACAATCAGATCAAGTTATAGAAATAATGTAGAATATGAAAAATTTGCAGTCCTTGCTACCATAATTGAATCTGTAAATAAGGTTGTAAGTTGTTGCAGTCATTAAGCAGGTCATTTCATGACCAGACCTGATTTTACAACATTTTTTATGGTGGTCATTAAACGAATACCATGACTGTTAACTGAACCATGGTTGATAAGCAAATACATTTTACCCAATGGGTGTTTTTTGCTAGTGAGAGAAATCAGCAAAAAATAAATGAAAATCAGTGACATGACCACAGGACACTGCAAGAGCAATAAATGTAAGATCCTGCAAGCTGCTATGAGGCAGTTGCCAAGCACCCAAAATGCAGTCATGTGACTGCTGTGTGTGTATGATCATTGTTAACTATAAAATCAGGTCATAAGTAGTTTTGGGGGAGTCCAACGTAACTTTGACCGGTTGCAACCCAATCATAGGTCAAGGACTACCTGTACTGTACTTTCCAGATTTCCAGAATGTTAAAACTGATCAAACTTCCTGTGCACTGAAAACTACTGTATAGAAGTTAAAGTCCAACACATTTAAAGGCCATCGGATGGAAAGGTTATGCTATCCTAACAGATCTCTTTCATAACACTCAGCTGATCATCTGATGTTTAGCAATACTATATTTGCAGCTGTGCATACTATTCTTTAACGAGGCCATTGAGGAGAATTAAACAAATCTTTTCCAGTTGCTACCAATTATGTTATCTAAATGTGAAACTTGTTTGATGACTTCTTTCAAGAAAAACAAGGATCTAGAGCTTCTGATAATACTGTGCATATTCCCTACCTACAAAGTGCATGGCAGATCCTTCCAAATCATTAGATTTTAATATGGGCTCCCTGAATTTCCACTTATCCTTATGCATCCTGAATAAAGCGTGTGACCAGCCATACGCTAAATAAATAAATAAATAAATAATCCTGAATAAAGTAAATGAACAACTATTGCTGCATATTTTTTTTAACAGAGCATGAGGTCAGATGGAAAAATTATTAGACTGAAGCAGGCAAGTATATCCCTATGTTTTTATTTCCTTACTGCACAGGGCTTCTGACTGTATCTTATTCAAGACAGAAGGGTATAAATCACAAAAATAATAAATTCCTGGCCCTGCATTTCATTTAGTGACAGCAAAATGTTCTGTGAAATTTAGTAAATTAAAGTAATAGGCTGGAAACCAGATGCCTTATTGTTTTAGGGATGGAAAGCAAGATTCTGTCCCTCATGGAGTAAAGAAAAGAAAACTTTGGAAATACTTAGGCCCATGATGGCGAACCCATGGCACGCGTGCCACAAGTGGCACGTGGAGCCATATCGGTGGGCATGCGAGCTCAGCTCCCAGTTGATTTTCAGTCCTTCTGGTCCCACCGGAAGTCAGCAAATGGGCCGTTTCCGCATTCCGGTGGGCCTCGGGGGGGGAGGCCATTTTCGTCCTCCCCAGGCTCCTAAAAAGCCTCTGGAGCTTGGGGAGGGTGAAAAATGGGCCTAGCGGGCCCACTGTGCCATCATGTACCAAAAGCGGGGGAACGGGGGGGTCGCAAGCACGTGGGGGTGGGGGTGGGGTGCATTGAATTATGGGTGTGGGCACGCGCACGCAAGACCCCCCCACACTCCCCTCGCTTTTGGCACGCGATGGCAAAAAGGTTAGCCATCACTGACCTAGGCTAAGGCTGCTGAGATAAACCTCCAAGAATGAAGCTGTTGGGTTCCATACAACTCCAATCTGTGTGCTTTGCCAGGTAGTTAAAAATCTATTCCTCTTTTAAGTTAGTTAAGTACAACAAAAGAAAAGGAGAAAGAAGACTTATACTAATAGGAAGAGATTCTTTCTCTTGGTTCCTTTTCTCTTCGCTGAAAGAATCAATCTATCAGACTCCCGTTATATCAAGATCCCTACCTCACATAACTTTATACAAACAGCATTTTCTGTGAAACAAAACTAAATAGGGGACTGTTATGCTGCAAAGGAAACTCGACTTAGGCAGATCCTATAGGCATCCTTACAAAGGAGGAGAGTAGTTGCTATCCAATGTTGCCCAATTATATTAAAACGAACAATGCATACATTCAAGGATTCCACTTCTAAGTAAGTAGTGGTCCTTCCTCCTATTTTCAGCAGCAGGATAGCAGCAGGCAGAGACCTGAGCAAACTATGAACCAACAAACACCATTGTTTCCTACGATCTTAGCAAAACTTGTAAGAATGAATCTAGTTTTTCCACAATTGCTTGTAATGCAATGTGAGAGCAAGAAAAACAGTATATTAGCAGTGAGAGAACATTATACATTTTTTAAGAATTATAAATATGGTTGAAAAACCTCTGGAGACACCCCCCCCCGCCGCCGCTTTGCTTTTTAAAAGAGGAGAATTCCAAATGGGCACTATCATCTCAGCAGCGGCACTAGATAATGATCTCACCTGTACGTCACAGGGAATTAACTAAGATAACCAGAGAGAATTTAATAGGCAGAGGAAGGCACTGATCATATTAGAGTCATGCTACAGAACTGCACATTGTCAAGCATTATTCAGGCAGAAATCCAATGCATATTTATTTAGAAGCATGGCTCAGAGGAACTTACTTCTGAGCAGGCCAAAGTAGGATATCAATGCAAATCTACCTTTATTATTATTTGAGGGATGCAATTTAAGTTTCCCCCTCATACCACATTATTCTTGGCAGTCCATGCAAAAACACAGCGTTGTCATGATAAATGGGTTGGGTCATTGACTGCCTTAGTGTAACTTCAAGTTTGGCAGATGAACAATGTAACTATTATAAAATAGTGAGCCTTGTTTATATTGTTCTGCTTCTGTAACAGAAGTCTGTAGTTGTTTCTGGGAGCTGTAGAGAGACGATAAGATAAGATGAGATGAGGGTAACGAATGGAGAAGTAGAGGGGAAGGAGCAGGAAACCAAGCAATTGGATGGTGAAGAGATAACCAAGGGCTCCCTTTATTATGAAATAGCCAAGACTGTACAGAGACAAAGGATACCTTTTGTATGGATAGGCCACTTTGGAGATCTGGATCAAATATTTTAGGGATGTGCTGCAGTGGTGGGTTGCCCCCAGTTCGGACTGGTTCACAAGAACCAGTAGTAAAACTGGTGGGAGGCCCCGCCCACCGCCCCGGATGTCGTCATCGGTGATCTGTGCATGCGCAGGGTGCGTGCGCGATCCCGTTGCGAACAGGTAGTAAAGGTAAGTAGAACCCACCCCCGATGTGCTGATACAGATCAAGGCAGGGGGTTCAAAGCAGTGGTGAAATCTAAAATTTGTTACTATCGGTTCTGTGGGCATGGCTTGGGGGGGGGCAGCGTAATGTGACTAGGTGGGAGTGACCAATTTTTTTTAACTTTTAAAACCATTTTTTACATGTAAAACCATGTAACCCCCCCTTTTTTTAAAAAAAACCCTCTGCCGATCAGGCAACTCAGCTGGGATCGTCAGAGCTTGGATCGTCAGAGGCATTTAAAAGAAAAAAAAGCCTCTGATGATCACACGGCTCAGCTGGGCATGGGGGGTGGGGGCAGGGATTTCTGCTACCGGTTTTACGAACTGCCCGCCGCCATCGCTACCTACTCGCCCAAGCCGGTCCGAACCGATAGCATTTCACCCCCGATTCAAAGGGACCAAAGTACCAGTCCCTATAATGAAAAGTCCAGGCACACTTAACACCTGAGTCTACAGACTTTTAGGGGCAGGGAACATGCTTGTGACCACTAAAAGCAAGGTTTGTACTGTAAAACTGCTGGTTTTACTGACCACTGTCACTGACATCAACAATTAAACTGTTGTTAGACTAGGATTCATCAATAAAACCCCATCTCATCTATAACTCAAGTTTTGGCCAATTAACAATTTTTTGGACCTGCTTCACTAGCCATGCAGATATTTTCACTGCTCCTCCCCCCCTCCCCCAACAAGGCTGATCATCTGGAAAGATTTAGGAACAGGTCATCTGAGCAGGGATAAAATAGTACCAATACAGGAGAATATTTGTAGCTCAGGATTGAAATGAGAGGTTCTTGGTCCTCTCTGTGAGCTTGGTTGTTTTCTTGCAGATGTTTCATTACTCAAACTGGGTAACATCAGTACTAGTAGGCAGCCGGGTAATCCTATTCCCTGCTAGCATTGATGATGTTATTGTTACCCAGTTTGGGTTATGAAACATCTGCAAAAAAAAACAACCAAGCTCAGAAAACACCAAGGACCCCTCATAAAACAGTACATTTGGCTTAGATTTGTGACTTGTATTCAGTGAAACTTACATGTGTGGCAAATTTAAAATCAAGTCCCTCCCTTGCATGTGACGGGGATATCACACTTGTATGGTGGTCACATATACAACTGTGATCCTACTCAGCTACCAACAGTGGAAAGAAAACACCTCAAATCCCCCACCCTTGTGTGGCTGGCTACAGTTTAATCTGAACACAGATAAGCTTTTGATCTGAAAATATCAGGCAAAATGAACAGAGAGAAGGAACACAAAGTGCTCCAGGGAACTGACATCTGTTCGAATTTAAAACTATGAAAGTCTAGAGGTGGTGAACAAGAACAAAAACAAAAACGGTACACTGCAGTTAAGAGTGTAAAGGTGCTCTTTAGAAATCTACATTTCCCTTACCAATTGTGCAGGATCCAATATTAGCCCAGTCAGGTTTCTTCTGCAAACTTCTGAGAGATCTGTAAAAGCTGAAGCACAGTTCAAGCAAAGTTTGAGGCCTGCTGAGACCCTTTGGCTCCCCTCCCTCTTAATGCCAACCAAGCAAGAGATGAGCCCTCTGCGCCCACACAATATGTACTCCAGCCATAAGCCGGTTTAGCAAATCCTGTAGTCCAGTGGTGGGATTCAGCCAGTTCGCACCATTTCGGGAGAAGCGGTTGTTAATTTTCTGAGCAGTTTGGCAAACTGGTTGTTGGAAGAAATCATTAGGGCAGAGAACCGGTTGTTAAATTACTTGAATCCCACCACTGCTGTAGTCGCTCCTCACCCTTTTCCTGTGACCGGTGTTTTATTATCCTGAGGGGGGAGGCAGGCCGCTGTGGACACCCCAGTTCTTCACATTCTCCAATGCGTTATAATCGCCACCCGGGACTCTTTCCTTTCAACTCGTCCCTTCTTTTCCCCCACTCGGGCGATCCTCTCCCCCCACCCCCATCCCAATTCACCCCCTTCCTCTCCCCGCTTTTTTGTCTTCCCGCCTTTAGGGGCAGGCCTCATTTTCCCAACTCGGAACAAATCTAAAACGCCGCGAGGGGCAGGCGTCAAAGACATGGCTGGCAGGGCTCGCCCTCCACCCAAGTCAGCCCAAGCTGGAAGGAGCCGCGGCCGCTGCCACGTGGAAGCCAGAGCCCTGCCTAGTAAGGGAGTGAAGCCATACAAAGAGGGCTTTCGGGCAACCCCCCGATCGCCTTCGCTCCCGGCCCCTACCCCGCTGCCCCTATTTAAGCCTGCCTTCCAGCCCCGGTTTTCCAAACTGTTTCTCCCAAGTTCAATCAACTCACTTTCGGCTCCAGCCCTTTGGCGGGCTGAACTGAAGGCGCGCCTTTCCCTCCGACTATTCGGGGTAGCTGCCTTCAAGGCGTTGCCAACGGGGCTGCCCCGGGCGCGGGCGAGCGGGCGGATCCTCCCCTGCGAGCCGCGGAGAAGGAGGCGACTCAACGCTGCTGCCGGAGCCCCGTTGGCGCCGCCGCTTCGCTCGCCTGCCAGCTGCGCGGGTCTGCTCAACCTGGAGGAAAAGAGAAGCGCGTTTCCCACGCGGTGCCCCCGGGCAGGAAGTGTTCCTTGCTCGTGTCAAAACGGGAAGAGGGGCGGGGGGGAGGACAGGAATCGAGAGGCTCGCCTGCCCGTGACTTTATAAGGTCATCGGTGTGTGTTTGGGTATCCCCCCCTTCCCTTCCCCCCCCCAAAAAAAAGAACGTGGAACTTGGGGCGAGATCGCGAGGAGGGGTGAAAAAGTACACGGCAAATATACAGAGAGATGGGCTTCTCTTGGAAGGCTGCCCGGTTCGCTCGCTCGCTCAGGTATTTCGGCTCTGCTGGATTTTAGGTTCGGCCGCTTTCGTCCCGTCCTGGCTCAGTAGCCAATAGGGCAACTTCGTTTGGAGGTGGGGGGTGGGGGGTGGGGGAGTCCTCATTTCAGAGGCCGATCCTCTGCTGCAACGTCACCTAAAGTTGTCTTGGGCACCCTCACCATAAACGACGAAACCGGAGAAAGGAGAGGAACCGACTTGCTTCCCTACCCCGCTGTAAGCAAATACACGAGGTCTAACAATATAAACGTTGCTATTATAACACAGGTGCAGAAATATACGCCCCATAGCGCCGGGATGTGATGCTTACAGGGCCGTGCAAAACATGTTTGGGGATAGTGTAAGTCTAAAAAAACAGAGAAAATAGAAGAAAACACAAAAGTAATTGTGAGGGGGAACAAATATTGCCTTAAAGCACATATTTCTATCCATTGATTCAGCTGAGCTAATGCATGCAGCGGACAATAGGTTTCAGAGTGTCATGCTGGGCTGCTTGCCTTTGCTCCAGGATTAAAAAATAAATAAAACATTGTTTCTCCTTTCCTTCATGTTGTCAGTACTACCACAATGGGGTGGGGAAGGAGCTGACATCAATTCAAAGTATATTTTTCAAGCATTTGCCATATGGGGGGTGAATCTTTGCCCCCCACAGAGAGGGCTCGCAATCTGGGTGTCCTCCTGGACGCACAGCTGTCTTTTGAAGAGCATATGACGGCCGTGGCCAGAGGGGCCTTTTATCAGGTTCGCCTGATTCGCCAGTTGCAGCCCTTTCTGGACTGGGACGCCTTGCGCACGGTCACTCACGCCCTTGTCACCTCCCGGCTGGACTATTGTAATGCTCTCTACATGGGGCTCCCCTTGAAGAGCACTCGGAGGTTCCAGCTGGTTCAGAATGCGGCCACGCGGGTGGTTATGGGCGCAACTCGTTGTGCCCACATGACACCTCTCCTGCGCGAGCTGCACTGGCTCCCAGTGGTCTTCTGGGTGCGATTCAAGGTGTTGGTCACCACCTTTAAAGCGCTCCATGGCATAGGACCCGGGTACCTTCGAGACCGACTTCTGCCACCAATAGCCTCCCACCGGCCAGTTCGCTCCCACAGAGAGGGTCTCCTCAGGGTGCCATCGGCCAAGTTATGTCGGCTGGCGACACCCAGGGGGAGGACCTTCTCTGTGGGAGCCCCAGCCCTGTGGAATGAACTGCCCCCGGAAGTGCGTAAGATCTCCGACCTCCGGGTATTTCGCTGTGCACTCAAGACCCTGTTGTTCCGCCAGGCCGGGCTATCAACATAATAATTTTAAATTGGGTGTTTTAAATTTCTGGGGTTTTAAATTGAGCCAAATTATTTAATAATTTTAAATTATTTTAATTGATGTTTGTCTTGTGCTTTTAATAGGCTGTACACCGCCCTGAGTCCTTCGGGAGAAGGGCGGTATAGAAATAAAATTGTTGTATTGTATTGTATTGTATATGGTAGTGTGATCAGGATCTCTGCAAGCTGGTATGCAAGTTGTGCATTGCACGAAAGTGCCATAACACGAGGAGGGGGGCACCAGAGTGAGTTTTAAGAATGAATTCTCCATTCTGAACACCAACCACATGTGCTCGATTAGGTCAGATTTCACTTCTTGCAAAAGGAGTGCTATACAGTAACCATGGGTATGCATTGCATAATCTGAAACTATCAGTGCTAGTGTGCATGTTGCTGCAGTTCCAGGTGGCTCATCCGAACAAATATGAGCTGCATAGAGTCATTTTTCTACAAAGCGACAAAACACCCCTCTTTCCATTGGTTTCTGAGTTAAAGCTTATTCCAAACTTCCTATCTAGTCTTAATCACTGGCCTGTTGTCTCAGTTTAAGAGTAGCAAATGCAGGTAATCTTCCTCGCTTAACAACCACAATTGGGACTGACAACTCCTTCACCAAGTGAAAGAATTATTAAAATGAAACATGTGACTGCACCGGACTTACAGCATCAGTTCCATCATGGTCATTAAGCAAATCACCTGCAGTTGTTATGTGAGATGACTATGACTTGTGACTTACGTGATTGTGGCTTGGGATTTCTCCATTGACTGCTTGTCAGAAGCTGGCGGCAAATGGCAATTGTGATTGTGGGACACTGTGACACTCATAAGCTCAAGGACCAGTCATAACAGTTACTTTTTCTGCACCATCGTAACTTCAAACAGTCATTAAATAGGGCAGTTGTTAACCAAAGACTACCTATAAAATTCTTAAGGGAAGGGGTCAGCAAAACAATATTTTGCCAGAGGTATCTTACAAATCAGTGGCAGTCCATAATTTTTAAAAATGAAATGGCTTGCAAACTAAAACACTATCTCACAGTATAATCCCCCTTAGATAGATTTTTCTTGTTTTTCTAGATTCCCTTCTCCTAGAGTCTAGTTAAAAATTGCTTTCCGAGAAAAGAGGATAAGAATGACATATGCCCTGTGACAAAGAATTCTAAGAATATTGTTTGACGTTCTAAGCCGTATATATCCACAGCTCCCTACTGTGAGCTCTTACTGTGAAATTACTGTCCTCTTATCAAGCATATTTGCTTAGATTTTCCCCCTTCCTATGTCTCTGTGGTTTGTGTTCCTCCATCAGTTGTTGTGACATACCATTCATGTGTGTTCACCAATTCTTGTGTCATTTCAAGAACCTTGTAGTTTTGATCCAATGGACTGAAAGACAAAAAAAAAAAAAACACTGAGAAAGACAAAGAAACATTGAAATTCTGAAATTATATTTAAAAAAACCTTTTAAATTTCCTGTTCATGTTCTTATATCCTCGGGTGCATCACAAAGCACACTCTCTAAACTGGTTATCTCTTGAACTTGCCAAACTAGCTAAGGCAGCTGAGCTTACGTCTATCATGTAGCAAGAATGGGTAAAGAAACAAGAGTCAGGGGGGAGAGCGGGTGGGATAAATAAACCACAGTGATATCCATGTGAGGGAAACTACTTGTTGCAACTATGTTAAACATTTGTAGGTCGTTTTAGTTGCGCTGTAAAGTTAGGAGAATCATATTATAGGCCAATGCAAGTTAACAGCATGGTACAGCCTGAATGATATGTTATTTGGAGACTAAAAGCATTTATGATTGTATGTGTGCCTGCACAGATGGAGTAAGCGTTTAGTTATCATAAGACAAGTATAGATATTGTGGCTCTTCAATTGAAGAGACTGCTAAAATATGTGTTTTAAGGCAGAAGGATAATTCACTAATTGCTTAGCAATATCCCTAACCCTAACCGTGTGCCTATTTAGGGCTCATGCAAAGAGCTCAGTTGGAAACTGAACTGAGAAGCCTGCTCAGTGTTGTTTATTCAGTTCAACAAAACTTCATTTTTCAACATTCTTCTACTCGAGCCATTCTGTGCATCTGATGAAGTGACTGCAGCTCACAAAAGCTCGTGGCTTTTAATAAAGTTGATTAGTTGGAAAAGGTGCTGCTGGACTCCTCCTAATTTCCTGAGGAGACAGAATACAATTGAGACTTATGACTACTTGACAGGCTACATGTAATCTGTCTCCTATGTTACCTGCATGTGCATAACCAACCTCTCTCTTCCTCCCTTCCCTCTACTTCCCTCGCTACAATTTAAATACACTTTGTGTATCTGTTGAAGTGAGCTGCAGCTCAGAAAAGCTTGGTGACCCCCAAGGGAAGGGCCTTCTCTGTGGGGGCACCTACCCTCTGGAATCAGCTGCCCCCAGAGATAAGGAGAATCCAAGACCTCGGTGCCTTCCGCCGTGCCCTTAAAACCTTCTTTTTTCAGCAAGCCCGGCTGGCCTAACACTTTTTTAAATGTTTTTAATTGTTTGTTATTGTTTTTAATCATGGGGCCAAATTTATATCTTTTTAATTGTATTTTAATGTTTGTAGTTTATGTTTTTACTTGGCTATTCACCGCCCTGAGTCCTCAGGGAGAAGGGCGGTATACAAATTTAAAAATAAATAAATAAATGTCTTTTAAATAAAATTGGTTAATCATAAAAGGTGCCAGCAGACTAATATATTGGTGAAGGCTTTCATAGACAGTGTTTCTTGGACAACACTGCCCAACTGCTATAGGCTCTGACTTTTTGCTACAAGACGGACTGTGTCAAGTAATCTTTAAGATCCTAAAAGGAAATTTGTATCCCACATGAAGTTGCTCTCACCAAGAAAGTGAATATGTCTGCTTCAGTGCTCCATTTTGGTGTGATATTGAACCATAGGTCAATATAGGTCAAGAAGATCTTTTCCAAATAAAATGGATATTTATTTATTTTATTTATTTATTTTATTTTATTTCTATACCGCCCTTCTCCTGCGGGTCTCAGGGCGGTGTACAGCCAAGATAAAACATTGCATATAAAATTTAAAAACAATTTAAAAAACAATTAAATAATTTCGGCCCAAGATTTAAAAACAACCCAATTAAAACTGAATTCAATTAAAACTGAGAGGATGGGATCAAGCCAGCCCGGCTAGATGGAATAGGTGTGTGTGGAATATGTGATTATTTATGGTACTTATGCAAAAGTTTTCAGCCATCATAGTTTATTATTTGTTTAAACACAGTTTTCTAACAGTCATAGCAGATGGGCAGCATAATAAGATCTTGTGGAAGACTGGTGCCTAGTATTAGAAACACAATCCTAGATAACATGTAGAATAAGTATCCCAGTGGTTCAGAAATATCATTTGGGAATGCAAAATCCCCAGATTTGTATTTTGTGCCTATGTATTAATAGCCAGAGCAGCAGCAGAAGACAGTAGACATAAATGCATCTTGTCCCTCTTTCCCCAAAAGTAATTGCTTCTCACTAACCCGTTCGCTTAATGCTATTATAGTGAAAACCTCTGAGAGCTGTTTAGATAATTAGGTCCAGCTGTTTGGCTCATTCTATGACATGTTATCTCCACCATGGTATCCTCAAAGTGTTGTCCAGCAGACTTGTTCCAGGTGGTAATATTTAGCATTTGGTTAGCATTTTACTTGGTGGAT